TTGTGGGAAAATGGTCACTTCCACAGAGGTCGTCGAGGACTGACCATTCAAACTCATTCAATAGGTTAGAATCAGTAATTGACAAATCAAGAGCTGAATACGTTCCTGTGCCAGGGTGTAAATATGTGTTTGAACAATCATTATATATGCATAAATCATTGTTTGAAATAAACTCCTCCAGTATTTTACCTTTAGCGTTTAGAGTTGTACCACCCCAGAGTGGGTTGTGGCCATTAAAGTCACCCATAATAATACAGGGTTTCGGAAGTTGATTGTAAAGTGATTGAATATCAGCCTGCTGAAGAGCTGAAGATGGCGGAATATACAGCGAGCAGAGAGTAAAAGCAACGTGCAGAGTAAGGCGTACTGCAACGACTTGAAGATCAGTTTTAAGCAAAACAGGGCTTTGGAGTACATTATGCCTTACAAGGATGGAAGATCCTCCCGTAGCCCTATCACCCGGGGAGAAAAAGAATGATATGCATTGAACTGACGTTAACTGAATGTTTCTTACAGACAGAATGCTGATGGACTAAAGTCCTGGACCAATAGTTGTAAGTCGTTAAAGTTGGTCTTCAGTCGTCGACAATTCCACTGTATAATATTGTTTAGGTAAGCTATCTTTTGGGTGGAATGATTGGGGATCTACCCCGTGCCTTTTTAGAGGGCGATATGCTATGCGCCCGTGGCTCGATGTTTTCAGCCACATCCATTCTTTCCAGAGATCCAAACTTATTAAATAGTTGGATCTGATTATCTGACACCTTTGAAATTCTATCACTTAGATGTCCTTTCGAAGATTCAGTTCTTGCTTTGGTTTGCTTCATATTTCTGTGAGACTTTGTGGGATTTTGTGCTGGTGATTGATTCTGGGTGAGAGATGATGATTGGTCTTGTGATAGAGTCTGTATGTCAGAAAGTGAATCCGATGTTTGAGTTGATTGTTCATTTGAGTATATTTAAGGTGCTTCAGAGTTCAACCAAGTCAAGTCTGTCTGGCAGTCTATAGATGATGTCTTGACTTTGGGGGTTATTTCAGGGGCTATCTGAACGCTATCTGAACGATAGACGCATATGTTCCTGTGCCTTCCAGAGATTGAACAAGTTTCTTTGCATCAGAGAAACTGATGTTTCTGGAAAATTTAATTTTATTTATTTCCATCTGTTGTTTCCAGATAGGACAGTCTTTGGAGTATGACGGGTGACTCCCTGAACAGTTGGTACATTTTTTAACATCATTGTCACAGTCTTCCGTTGTATGAGTTTGCTCACTGCAGTGAGCACATGTGACAGATCGTGTACACGTATTGACACCATGGCCATATTTTTGGCATTTGAAACACCTCAGCGGGGTGGGAATATAAGTGTCAACTTTGATATTGCAGTAACCTGCTTTAATTGTTGTTGGGGCAGTCGGTGTTGAAAATGAAAAAAGTTATGTATTAGTAGGTTGTGTTTGTGAGTTCTTTCGTGTGGAGAACCGTTTAACATACATAACACCTTGATCTCGCATCTCAAACACTATTTCAGCTTCAGTCATATCAGTAAACAACTGATCCCTGTCTCGAAAAATGCCTTTACTGGTATTGAGTGTTCTATGAGCTGTAACTGAAACAGGAACACCGACAAACGAAACTATTGACATGAGGTTGTTGGATTGTTGCTTCCTGTTGCATTCTATTAGCAAAGAACCTGATCGCAATCGTCTGACGTTTTTAACCTCGCCAGCTATACCCTTAGATATTTCAAAAGGGTTCAATTTGAGAGGTGTTTTGTCAACTGTCTCAATCACTAGAAACCGTGGCCAATGTTCTACAGGCGTTAAAGGTCGTTGCTCATCTTCATTATCCAGTGGACGTTGTTTTTTTTTGAAGGGGTTTGGTAGTCCATGTTTGTTGGTAATATGGTTCATCATCCGAGCTCCCCACCCACCATGGAGTATCATAAAGACAATGCTAATAACAAGTGGATGTCCTACTTGTAGCACCAAGGATACCCGGATGATATACTCCAGCAGAAAAACTAAAAGATTACTTTTTCCACCAGATTGGCCCATGAGCCACCGCCTTCTGGGCATAAGAATCTAGGCAGAGCATAATAAAATGTCAAAGTCAAATGCTATTCTATAAACAAAGGTTGCCAAGACCAAAATTTATACAATTCCAAAGAAAATGTTGTGCAGTTACAAAAATCCATGCACAGGGCCTGGCATGACCAGCCGATTGATTGAACCGGGCCCATTTAACCACCAGTCTAGGTGAAGTAAGGGGCGAAGTGGTGTGTTGGGCAAAGAAACACTATTCCTGGAACCAGTGCCCTCAACCACCAGACTCCCGTCCTCCACCGACACAGGGGCGCAACCCACGGCAAACGGGTTGGTGGACCAAATATACCCCCTGGTCCACAACGGGGGGTTGAAGAGCGCTTGGCGTTACCCAGCACCCACCACGAGGAGGTAGCTCTTCACGGGTGCCAATGATCATTGAAGAGACAAAACGTTTTCGCTGTAGCCACACAATGTGTTGGATAGACTACAAAGACACTTATGACTCTGTACTTCACGAATGGAGTATGAGGAGACTAGAACGCATCGACCACCCGGAACAAGTACTTGTTATACTCAAGTACGCCCAGTTATTGAAGTTCAGAGTCTTAATAAAGACCACGTTTTGTTTTGCTGTGAAGGAATTTGAAAGAAAAATCTAAAAACATTGTATTATTTGCGTTTGGTTGTTTTACCTGAAGGGGTATACACTGATACCATCATTTAGTGCTTCATGTGGCACTTGTAACACTTTTTGCCCAATAAAACACCCACGTGCCTAATATAATCAGACTCAAGGCTGAAGACAAGACTTAAGTTTATTTGCGTTCAGACCGCTTGGTCAAAGCAAATACACACGCATATACAAACTCATCTAACATGATATTACAATTAAACTGGGAAGCATCTTTACGACAGTAATTGATATAGTTTCTAACAAGTCGGGAGTTCATAGAAGTATGAATCCACAAACTCGGGTCTTCAATTTCTGGACACACCAATACAAAGGGAAATTCATCCTAAATTTGCTTTGTTTCACATTTTAAACACAATTGTTGATCACATTCTATCTTAGCGTCAAACCTCACCACTTTATCTTTGATTTGTGAAACTGAAACCGAAATTTGCAGAATATACCTAATACATCTTTATAGTTAAACAGGTCCATAATACATTTGTCGGTGTCGAGAAAATATTTATAATTTACTAAGAAAGAGACGTCGCCTCTTCCCGATAGGCAAGCTTGTCAAATTTGAAACTTGATATCTTTACATCTTTACAGGGAAAACCTGCTCTTGAAATTCATATAATTTCGGAAATCTTCAAAATAAAGCCCTAGGAGAACCCCGATCGAGAGAGACCCCTAAACAGACAAAATCATACCTATGTTCAGAGAATCTTGGAACAATTGGTTATCTGATATAGAGTTACACAGTACCTTAACAAATAGAAACATAAAAGAAGATTTCTTGTTACACCCAGGCATCTTAATCATTTATAAAGAGTTTATGTCTGTACTAAATACTAATCGTGAACAAGTTCAGAACAACAGCATCTACACAGCTTCTTCTCACAGTTTTTGGAAAACCTTAAATATATACATTCAAACAATGTTTACATTTCCTTAACTGAAAATACTTTCTTTGCAATAATGCATCAAGACTTCTGATAACACCAAGGTGTCTTACCCATTTGCAAAGAGTTTACGGCTGTACTAAATACTAACCCTGAACAATTGCACCTTTGTCACAATTTGGGAAAATCTTAGATAGCCACATACATTTAAACTATGTTTAACTTTCCTTAACTGGAAATACTTCCTTTGCTATAAGTCAAAGCGCATCAAACCAAACCGTTGCTGGTAATTATAACAGTTCAATATGAAATGCGAGCGGTAAAATGCATTTCTTCGAACAACCTTCCACAGCCACAATAATTTCAACATGAAAAGAAATATTGAAGAAAGCGTTAACAATGTCCTTGACCTTCGATGGCGAAACATTTTCTAAACGGATATATATCTTACCATTCTCCACCCACTTATATTTGGTTCTCTTCCAAACATACACAGTCAGCTTTCTAGGGAAAAAATGGTAATGTACATGAATTAAGGTAAACGGTCAGATTAAGTTCTTTAGATAACCTTTAAATCAGTATTTAAAACAAACAGAACACGTTAACATCCTGATTAGAATTGGTCTTCAGCATCCTATGTTTCTCATAAGCGGCGAGTAACAGGATTGGGTTGTCAGGCCCGCTGACTTGCTTGACACATGTCATCGTATTATCGATATTGATCATTGGACTGTCTGGTCTGAACTCGATTATTTACAGACCGCCGCTAAATAGCTGCAATATTGTTGAATATAGCGTTAAACAACAAACAAACAAAACAGTGCTTTAACAGCTGTAAACCACTGCTATTTGCCGCATCATTGAGAGTATATTTTGTGTTTGTCCGAAAACAGATAATGCTAAAAACGGTGTAAAACAATACTCACTCACTCACTCATTGTATAATGCGTATCATTATATGTTTTCGGCGATATTCATGTAACTTTGTCAATATTGTAGACTTCCAGTCTGTTATTACACCAATTTCACCACTACTCCCGTACACATAAAAATCATTATTGAAATAAGCCATGCTGTTTATTTTGTAGGAAAGGGCCATAATTCTCATGCTTAAATTCATTGACAAAGAAAAACCTAATACCTCAGAGCTTTTGATGTAATAAAGAAGTGACCGATCGGGATCAAATACCAAATTAGATATGTATTTTCCTTTAAGGAGTGTTCGCATATTTGTACCTTCATATGATATGGAGAATATTCTGAAAGGTCTCCAGCAACTTGACCCAGGAGGTAAGATTGATTACTTACGCCACCAGATCAGCCACATTCTTCAAAAGCCCTCGGACACACATCTAAACTTACACTAGCCGAGAAACAAGCCATGAAAGACCTCAAGAAAGACCCAGACATATTCATGGTCACAGCTGACAAGAGACGTGCAATGGTCATCCTTGACAAGTCTGAGTTCCATTCCCTGGTCAACAAGATGCTCACCGACCCCACCACCTACAGAAAACTTAAGAAGGATCCCACCAGCACACTCCAACGTCAGCACAAGTCCACATTGAAATGCATGAAAGTAACCTTTGAGATTACCGCCCAACCATATCATGAACTTTCTGTCTTGCACCCACCGCCCCCTATGCCCGCGCCACCATCAAGATTCATAAAGACCTCATCAAGGCAAGACTACTTGTATGTTCAAGGGACACAGTCTTCTACAACACCACTCAGTACCTCGCCGAAATACTCTCCCCTCTTGGTAAAACAGCGAAATCCTACATCGCAGACCTACATCGCCAAACGATAAGCAGGATTACTGAACCCGACCAGATTATCAGCTACGATGTTGTTGACCTCTTTACAAACCTCCCCACCTACGAATCCCTACAAATCCTCCGTCAGCGCATCTCCAACCTGGATCGACCTTTCCATAGACTCCATCATCAGCCTCACTAAATCATGCATAACATCCACCTTCTTCACCTGGGGAGACAACATTTTCGAACAGATCCATGTTCTCCCCTTTTTCACCCATTCTTACTGAAATCTACATGACCCATTTTGAAAAAGAAACTCTGGCCTCCTTCCCCATCCAACCTGTGTACTGGTATAGGAAGGTAGGTGACACCTTTGTCATCCTCGGAAAAGACCAAGATCCCACCTCACTACACCAGCACCTCAATACCCAACATCCCCGAATCAAGTTCACTATGGAGACAGAGAACGACAACAAACTCCCCTTCCATAATGTCCTTGTATCTAGAGACTCCTGCAACATGATCCAAACCAGTCTACAGAACACCCACCCATTCCGACCAGTACATTCATTTCAACTCTAACCATCCCCCTAAAACAAAGTTCGGTGTCATCTCGCCAAGAATATTTGCTCCAGCAGCGATGACCTAGAACATGAACTTAACCACCTACAAAATGTCTTCACCAACTTCAACCAGTATCCGACTAACCTAGTCAAGAGGACCATCTCCACCACGCTCCAGGACAAACCCAAACCGACGAAGCATGTTGCCGTAATACACCCTCCACTAAGCAACCCCACCAAAGGAGTGATTTACAAGATTAACTGTGAATGTGGTGATTCTTATATAGGTGAAACCTCCAGTCCCGTTGACACCCGCATAAAAGAACATACAACCTCTACAGCCAAGAGCAAATCAGCCCTCTCCGATCATCAGCAAAAATTCCCTACCCATCAAATCAAGTTTGACAAATTCGAAGTCCTATCAACCAAACGTCGGGCAGAGAGAAAACAGCCCTCTCAGATCACCAACAAAAATTCCCTACCCATCAAATCAAGTTTGACGAATTCGAAGTTCTATCAACCAAAAATCAGGACTTCACAAAAATAAAACTGTTGGAAGCCATCGAAATCCGCCGCCACAAACCATCAGCCTATGAAGAACTAATCAAACTATAGACTATTAAAGCACCCTGTCTATTTGTTGTTACTTCTTACAGTCCGTTTGAGTCAGAAACGGATCGATGAATTGCAAATTTGATCATTGTACAAAATTGCCACAGAAATATAAATAGTACACATGTTTATCATTTAGTAATACCCAACAGCTTTCTTATATTTGAAAATGTTCCGGACTCAAGCAAAAAAGTTGTTTAAGAAACTATCATCATTGAAAACGCAAAAGTTGTTATCTGTCACGGCGGGGTGAAACCGCAGAAACGGAACAGCCAGTCATTGCGGGGACATCTCAAAATCTATTCCTTCGAGACCTGTCGGCTCTTCGTCCGTCATAGTGTCAAAGTCACGACTTAAAGGGATGACAAGTGGTGCCACCTCTACGTCACGTAATCTAAAGTTGTGTTTGATCTGGCAACATCTCCTTTGACAATACCCCATATCATTTCAATGGGGTTAAGGTCAGAGTGATAGGGTGGACGTCGCAGAATATCGTGACCCTTACTTTTTATGTAACTGTCAACTTTGTAGAAAGGTTCACCTTTGTGGGTTTTTATGATCTCATATAGCTGAGGCTTCGTTGCCTTAGAAGGCTGTGCCAACTGAAATTTGTCGAGCCATGATATCATATCACCTTTTCGACTGTTCGATGTCAGGGCTTTACTGTCGGGGTCCTGCACGCTGTGGTATGGGGCATTGTCCATTACGATAAAAGACTTCTCTGGTAGAGCTGGTACCAACTTGTTTTTAACCCAATCGAGGAAAACCGCACCATTCATCTCGGAATGGTAGTCTCTGTTATCTGTGGACTTTGCCCTGAATACCAAGTCGCAGCCTGGGAGAAAGCCTTTGCTGGAGCAACCAGCATGGAGAATGATTAGTCTCTCTCCTTTCCCTAGAGGCAGCTTTCTACGTGACCCCTTATCACCTCCATCGGGTACCCACTGACCGCGGGCAGTGTGCGAGGCATTGACCCAGGTGTCGTCCAAGTACGCTGGCTTGAACCCTTCCTCGCGCTTCTTCTTTATAACCCTGAGAAAATTATTTCTCAAGCGAACGATATCAGGGCGTTCACACAGTACTGACCTATTCTCCCCGAAATTTTCTTATTTTCTAACGATACCCGAAAGAGTGTAAGAGTCGCCAGAGTGTGTACTTTGATACTCTGAGGTCGTGTTCTTGCTTCAAATGTTTTTTTAAAATTTTCAGTGACATGTATTTGTTTTCAGAATAGAGCTTGTTGATAGACTGCCTTACAAGGTTCTTTTGAAAGTTGTCCAAATGTTTTAATTTGTGTGATTTTCACACGACCCCTTCCTGCTTCTCATCACCCTCACAATGTTTGTGTTCCAGTACATTTGTCAGTACCCTTGCTGATACCCCTAAAGCTTTTGCTGCCCGCTTACAGAATTTATTAATGGCATAAAATGGTTTGCCCCTTTCGGCTTCAGCACGGAAAAAATCGTACACTTTAATCATCAACTGTTTCACGTCAGCATTCAACTTCATTGTTCATCAGGCATGTGTATCCCGTGCACGACGAGATAGTGGCTGTTCCGTTTCTGCGGTTTCACCCCGCCGCGACAGATAACAACTTTTGCGTTTTCAATGATGATAGTTTCTTAAACAACTTTTTTGGTGGAGTCCGGAAAATTTTCAAATACGAGAAAGCTGTTGGGTATTACTAAATGATAAACATGTGTACTATTTATATTTCTGTGGCAATTTTGTACAATGATCAAATTTGCAATTCATCGATCCGTTTCTGACTCAAACGGACTGTAATCCCCCTGTTTATTGGCTTCATCATTTTTGCTATTTGGTGCTTTTAGTTCCTCACTGGCCTCTTCCAATCATGTACTACTTGTTATTCTATTACATGACGTTGTTAATGTTAATCTGCTGCTTGTCACAACATACCATGTATATATGCTTCTCACCATTTGGTTGTAGTCACTTTTAGCTTGATAACGGTGTAAGAATCTACTTGAAACGTCGCTTTACGCAATAAACAAGGTGTTGTCATCCATAAAGTTGTATGTTTCATTTTTTAATAACATATTGTTGTCTCAATCGTAAATGTGTTAATACGTTCCTGTAAGTTGTCTTTAATATATGCATCATTTTTTCTGTCGTAAATGTTTTATACGTACCTGTAAGGGGTCCGTTGATAAAACTCTATCTGTTCTAGACCGTTTCGTGTTGACTGGGCCATCTACTCGACAGGAAAGATCAGCAACCTCAAATATGAAGCTGGTGCATCCACCTACACGATGACAGAGTTCTTCACACATGCGGGGACCAAAGGGCTTTATGCCTTGCTGGTATACATGTATATAGGAGGCAGTGGTAAAACTGCATATTATTGAAGTTATGCAAAGACCTGCAAAGTAGTGCGTCATGTTCTTCTGGCAGATTTCTGCAGCAACTACTAAGGCAGTGACCTGCTCTTTCCTGGGAGGTCTTCACACGTACGGAGACCAAAAGGGTTTATATGTTGCCTATATACCTCTATGTAGGAGGCAGTGGTGAAACTAAATTCTGCAAAGATTTGCAACGTAACCCTTCTTCTACACCATCCCCTCAGAAACCAGTGATCTGGCCTTCAATACTCAGGTCTCATCTGTCGAACGAAGTTGGAGGTATGGTAAAATATGTTAGTTGTGTTTAGAAATAAGAACTCTCTTTTGTGAGGTTGGACGGCACTTGTATGTGTGCAGTCACTGAGAAGGTTTAGCATTTTTTATTGAAAGAAATAAGTCTTGCTCGACAACATTTATAATTAAATGGTAATGATATATTGTAAACGATATGCTCTTTGACGTGTGAGGGTTCCATGTGGCAAAAGGTCTAAGGATATTTCTAGCCAAAACCCTGTCAATTGTTCATGCCACTAATCGTTCCCAAACTCAATAAGCCCGGTAACTGATGACTGGAAAGAACTGCTGAACACTGAAAATATAACGGTTGTTTAAAAAGGTACTTTTCGCCTGGAAACAATGAGATATGTCATACATTTTATGTATTTATCACTACTAAGCCCTGTCTTCATCACTATGCAGTGAGGGAAGCAGTGTTTGATCCCAAACCGAGTGAGCGAGCGAGCGAGTGAGGGAGGGAGTGAGGGAGGGAGTGGGGGGAGTGAGTGAGGGAGGATGGAGTGAGTGAGGGAGGGAGTGAGTGAGGGAGGGAGTGAGGGATGGGGTGAGGGAGGGAGTGAGCGAGTGAGGGAGGGAGTGAGGGATGGGGTGAGGGATGGGGTGAGGGAGGGATGGAGTGAGTGAGGGAGGGAGCGAGTGAGGGAGGGATGGGGTGAGTGAGTGAGTGAGTGAGTTTACGCCGCCTATAGCAATATTCCAGCAATATCACGGCGGGGTCACCAGAAATGGGCTTCACACATTGTAACAATGTGGGGAAGAGAACCCGGGTCTATGGCGTGACGATCGAACGCTTTAACCACAAGTCTACCCCACCGCCCGTGTATCTCAGATGAAGAGAAATGGAAAGACGTAAGGTTGGAACTGTTGGAATACTACTCGATATCCCTGATCCATTTAAAAGTTTGACATTAAAATATGCAAATTGTTACTATACTATCGTATTGACACAAGT